CACACACACACACACACACACACACTCTCACTCTCACTCTCACTCTCTCAAACACACACACACACTCATTTTCTGAAGGATCATGTGACACTTTATACTGGAGTAATGGCTGATGGAAATTCAGCTTTGCATCACAGAAATAAATTACATTTTAAAGGATATTAAAATAGAAACCATTGTTTTATATTGTAATAACATTTTGCAAGATTACTGCTTTTTTCTGTATTTTTGATCAAATAAATGCAGCCTTCATGAGCATAAGAGACTTTACAAGTCAACATTACAAGTCTTACTGATCCCAAACTTTTAAACGGTAGTGTATATATATATATATATATATGTGTATATAGGTCAGTGGCCCTTGGCTTGGTATTGTTGGCAGAATTCGGCCCTCTGCGAAAACTGAGGAACCCTGCACTACAGCAAAAGATAGAAATAACTGACTTAAAACCATTTCTAGCTGCTGAAAATACTAGTGTTCTAATCATTTTGGCCACCACTGTATATATAACTATTAATTACAAAAACAAAATGACTAAGACTAACATTAAAGTGAAAGCAATTTAAAGCATTAGTATGAGTGATGGTTTGTGTGGTTGGTTCTCAGGTGGAGCACAGAGACGGCGTTCTCCTTCGATCTCTCCAGAGCTCCAGCATCTTCACGTCTCTCGTCTCAGACGACAACCTCATCGTCTCTAATGTCTCAGCGTCCGCAGGAGTCCTGTCTGTGTGGTCATGGGCCGCGCCGGAGTCCTTCCTCAACAACAAGGTCATCTGCACTAGTGTTCATTTTCAATTTTAGTCTTAGTCTTAGTCCCGTGTTAAATGTCCTTGTTAGTTTTTATCATATTTAGTCAACCTTATCCTATTTAGTTTAATCAAGTTTTATTCGACTATGGCCTGGTTTCACAGACAGGGCTTAGACTAAGCCAGGATTCGGCCATAGTTCAATTAGGACATTTAAGTTATTTTTTATAAACGTGCCTTAGACGTGGCTGGTGTGCATCTTGAGACAAAACAAAGGCACTGATATATTTTAAGATCAATCAGTGCAAGTTTCTTTCAGATGAAACAGCTCAGACTTACATTTGTCAGTGCAAGTTTCTTTCAGTTGAAACAGCTCAGACTTACATTTTAGTCTGGGACTAAGCTTAAGCCTTGTCTGTGAAACCGGGGGTAAAAGTCTCAACATTTTAGTCTAGTTTTAGTCAATGAATTTCAATGATTTTTGCTAAAAATTATAATCGTAATGATTGTTGTCATTTGAGAAATTTACTTTTTGCATTTCAGACATTGCACTTTCACCAATAAACACAAATCAATAGAATGTGGACTCATACATGGTTTATTTTACCTCATCTAGTGTACAGATTTATTATAGGCTTTTTATTATATAAATTAATACCAAAGACTTATGCAATCTCTGTCTACATTATGAAAACTGGTAAAACAAACGAAAAATATTATAACAGTGAAATTCCTAGTAATTCCAAATTGCAATAGTCTTTATTCGGAGTCTCAGATGTGTGTGAGAGCTCTACCTGGTTCACCAGCTCGGTATGTACACACACACACACACACTCACACTCACTCACTCACTCACTCACTCTCTCTCTCTCTCACACACACACACACAC